TTTACCTGTGATCCTTTGAATAAATCAGCACTGTTTTGAAGTTACTTGGACTGTCTCGTCTCTCAGAGTTAGCATGGTAAGAAGAACCATAGTCCTTCACTCTGTAGAACTGTATCAACAGCTCCTGGGACAGGTCGAACATCCTGAGCTGGTGCAGGAAGTGCATCCTCTGCCGTGCCTTCTTGATGATGGTCCTGATGTTGGACGTCCACTTCAGGTCCTGGGAGGTAGTTTCTTATAGCCAGTGATGCTTTTGAGGCTGCTCCACACAGACGACGGGTCGTTGGCTGACACAATTTGTTAGAAAGCTCTGTGGTGTTGTGTTTGTAGTAGGCTTACATGATGTTAAATACATCTTTTGAAAGACCAGAAATGTATCTGTGTTTGTGTGCGTGTGTGTGTGTGTTCAGCTATAATGGGAGAACCCCCAGCAGCCTCTAAGCCCATCCAACTGGGAGAGCTTAATTTATCATGCAGAGGCAGCAGCTGCAGCTCTTCCTACTTTGCTCTGACAAACACGCACACACAAACATCCAAAGAGCTACTGTATCATCTTTGGGTGTGTGTGTGATGTGAGCAAACGATGAGAACATTTCTCTTTTCACTTGAATTTTCTAGAAAGAAACAAGTATGAGAGTCCAAATTACAACTACACTGTCTGTAAACTGCATCGGTCAATCATATATATTTTCCCACTTTTAATATGGCAACACAATAAAAATGCTTTACACCAGTAACAAAGCGCTAATAATTTGAACAAATACCACTTTTCATGGTGAAGAATGAGTAACAGAGTTGATCCACTCACATCATGAAATATAGTAAGCCCCTGTCCGGCGCTGTGCAGCGGCTGCTGTTGCTCCTGAGCTCGGAGATGCTTGTGTTTGGCCGACTGCAGGCACATAGTGATCATCTCCGTACAAGCCAGCATCTTTGACCGCGTCGAGACACACCTTGATTTTGCAGATCGTTCCCACTGCTGACGGACAAAAGGCTGAAGTGAAGTGACGGCTGAAGTGTAGAGGAGAGACAGGCTGCAGGTGTGAGCGCGGTCAAGTCAGAGGAATCAGGCGGGGGGACCCAGAGATGCTGTGCAACTTTGAGGTGCGCTGCGGAGCAGAGCTGCCAGCCCCTCCTGCTGGAGCCGCTGCGATTTATCTGCGTGTTAACTTGATCAGGACCAACTGCTTCTTAGCCTCTGATCGTCTTCTGCATAGCACTCACTTCTGTTTATGTATGAACAGTATCCTATTTAAATGGTATACAAACTTTGTATTTAAAACTACAACCCGCATAGGGGAGACCAATAAGCCCCAATAAAAATGCTCCTCTCTCATGTCAGGCATCTTGTGGCTCATAGGTCACACATAGGCGATTGACAGCTTAACTTTAAATTAAATGTATTCCAATAGTGTTTAAAATAACATGCCAGTTATTTATGCCACCCAAGTTTGAGCTGTAAAACTCCAATAGACCATCTTTTATCAGGTAGCGCCATCTGCCGGATGCTGGGACTCAGCGTTTTGACCTTGGTAGAAAAAAAAAACAGTCATGAGTACATTCTATTATTATAATAAATCCAGTGTTTTATTATCACTGAACTGAAGCACTGTCTTTGCTTTGTTTAGTAGAGCCCAATGATCTGCCTGGAATTAAATAGGTTAGAAAAATCAATTAGAAGAGTTATGATCAATGACATACTTAAATGAAGATGAATTGCCTTTGTTTTTATTTTTTTATGAATTGCTTTTGTTTTTACATCGTAGGCTATGTAACATCAGCATGATGAAGCAGAAACTTTTCAGGGGCATGACGAGGAGGCGGCGCACGGTTGTGCCAAAGCAGTTTTCTCTTCCTGAACTTGAATCGGTTTCGCTTTCCGTTCTGTCAGCGGCGAGGTGAGAGCAGGGCACTGCGGCAGAATACGAAAACGAGAAGTTCAGTCTGCACTCCACTGATTTTTCTATCTAGTTAATAGTAAACTACCGTTCTTGCCTCCAACCCTCTCAGGACGAGCCTAGGGAATGACCGTCGGATGCGCACAGGACTGCAACAACACGACCTGAGAGGGTTGGTGCGAAACTTGTCTAGTGAGCAGCTGTTATGTAATGACTGCGATGTTTGTGTTTTTGTGTTTTCTGTCACGTCAGGTGTTGTGTTATGGTCATTTCAGGTGACGTTATGGCTTCTGAAGTTGCAAGAAACGCAAATTTAAAAGAGGGTGAGCAGCTCAAATGAGTTTCGATTTTATGATGACTTATGAGGGGTCCCAGACAGCTTACCCCATAGATCTCTCCTTATTTCCTGTCACGTTGGCTACTCGTAAAAAACCCACTCCATTGAGCTCTGTCACTGGTGAGAAGGACACGTTTTATAGGGTCCATTGTTCATTATTGATTTGTGCCAAAAGCCTGGTGGTGATAGTCAATGTGATTCATTGTTTTGACTAACTGTAGCCTAAATCCCACCAAATTAAAGGATTTTTATATGTAACAGTTTCTGATTTCTCCCTTTGAACATTTGTATTTTAATATGTAAGGAAGGAACAGAGGAAAAAAATACAAACATTGCACAATATAGGTTTCCCAAACAGGAATGGTAGCAGCTATTGTGAAAAGAAGTGTGTTTCTATTAAGTCACGTGAGGATATGAACTCCTCCCTACCTCTCTTTGCCAGCTGAGGAACTTGCCATCTCTCTGAGTGAAGCCCTCAGCGGTGGGGACAGTCAAGAAGCAGTTAAGCTGTGTCAGAGGCTGTCACAACTCAGTGTTCCAGTGTCCGTCAGTGTCAAAAGTCAGGCCTACCCTCAGGACTCCATAAGGTGGGACACAGTTCTCTGTGGGGATGAGTCTGTGTGTGACTTCCTTTTTGTTTGCAAAAACAAAAACCAACCTTGTTGTTTTTAGGGAAGAGCACTGTGGCAACAAGAACTGAACAACAAAATTTTGCACATGCATGACTGTGTCTCTGTGTGTGGTTACTCGCTGGAAATGTTAAAAACTATGGAGGATGGATGCACATGTTTATGTCAGTTATGCAGTAAGGAGAAATAAAACTAAGACTGATTGGTTCTGTTTTCTGTTGTATAGGTTGTGGGTTGGAGTGGAGGATGCTCAGTCAGATACCTACATCCCAGTTAATATTGTGGTTTCTTCTCACATGACAGTTGCAGAACTTAAAGACAAGGTACTGATGTGACAGCAATTTTGATTTCGTTAGCATCCATAATATCATATCAACCTGTAACACTTCATCAGAGATATAATCTATAAACACTAGTTTCAGTCATGATCTGTCAGTTCTATCAGTCTGTTATTTTTGTGATTTTAATTTAATTCAAGTCTTCATCTGTCTGTCCCTCATTCCACATTCACAGATCAGCCACGACTTCGGGTTCCATCCGCTGGTGCAGCGCTGGGTGATCGGGAAGCGGTTGGCTCAGGACCAGGAGACATTGTACAGCCACGGTGTCCGACAGGATGGAGATCAGGCTTTCCTGTTTATCCTCTCTGCCCAAGCTGGTCATCTGACACGACATCAACACAAATTAGACCAGGAGCAGCAACGCATAGAGGGTCAGTGCAACACATACACAGGTCAAGGCTACAAATAACAGTTTGTTTCGATGTCTGTTAATCTGTGGATTTAGCTTATCACAAATATTGACTCGCAGTAGCCTACGTTCACAAATATACCTGTACTCATGGCAAATCATAAAACACAGCAGGCCATAGCTGACAGGGTCATTAGGCAGTAACTGGGGGCCCGGTGGTTAGCGCTGTCACCTCACAGCAAGAAGGCCCCGGGTTTGAGCCTCAGTCCAGTTGGTGTCTTTCAGTGTGGCGTTTGCATGTTCTCCCTGTGCCTGCATGGGTTTTCTCTAGGTACTCCGGCTTCCACTCACTCTAAACTACTCATAGGAGTGAATGTGGTTGTCTGTCTCCAAGTGTCAGCCCTGTCCAGGGTTTACCCTCCCTCTCTGGATAGGCTCCAGCAAACCTCTTCAGGATAAGTGGTATAGATGATGAATGGATGCGATCAGTTTTGTAGACGTTTTGCAACAACACTGCCGAGTGAATACCTTTGACTTTTTGATATGAAAAACAATCTATTTATTACAGCTTATCAATTAGGTCAACATGATCTAATAATAAGTAAATAAAGCAACAAAAACATCCAGTCATACATTGCCATCCTTTGTTATTTGACAGGGTACAGACACTCTTTACTGAAACATACTGCTGTTCAATACCCAGGGGTTTTTTCTCAAATTGCTGGCCTTGATTTCCAGTGGAATTGACAAGTCAGCTTAAATGATAATCTATTCTTAGGCATCATCGAGTCAATACACCTGTTTCCCAGAGGTGCTGGTGGTGGTGAGAAAACAGCTCCTCTTCCAGAGGCTCAGCACACTCCTCCTCCTCTTCCTCCTAAACCCCGACCTCCTCGTAAACCTGCAGTGGCTCCCAAACCTCAGGTCCGAATACAACCTATTACACATTGTGTCTGCATCGTGACTGAGCCTGTAGGTGTCTCCAGGTGTTGTACAAGCATACTGTGTGTGTGTATTTGTGTAGTTGGGCTGGGAATGTGCTATGTGCACATATGTGAACAAGCCAACTCGTCCTGGCTGTGAGATGTGTGGAGGGGACCGGCCAGAGGGTTATGAGGTGCCTGACTTCTACCAGCCAGACCAGCAGGAGGTTCTGCGTATTCAGCAGGGGCAGGTGGCCGTATGAACAGGTGACAGTGCTATTCATTAAAAAATCAGACAAAAAAATCCTGAATGTTTTCAGCCTGGTGCCAAATACAGATTAAGTTTGATCTAAATCTGGTCATCCAGACTCATTAAAGTATATGGCTGTTGTGTGGAAACCATTTAGCAGACAGTGCACTCTGGAGTATTTGTTGGAGTCTTGGAGTTTGTATTTGTAAAACCTAAAAAGTATTTACAGTAGAACACCTGTTTTTTGTTTTAGTTTTTTTTGCCTGATTTCTAGCCTTTTACTAAGTCTTTAAGTGTATTAAATAAACAGTGAATATAGTTCACAGCACTAATCAAAATCAGTTTCACTTTCTCTTTTCTAGAAACAGACTTATGATGTTTGTAACGAATATAATGAATCTCTGTGCGCTTGTGTCTCTCTCCTACTGGGCAATGAAGGCTCAGCAGGAGGAACGAGAGATGAACTTCTTATACCTGTTGGCAACAGAAGAGCAGAATCTCATCCCCAGCTCCACAGAGACAGACTGTCCTATCTGCTTCTCTACTCTGGAGCCAGGAGAAGGTATCACCCTCAGAGAGTGTCTACACGTCTTCTGCAGGTCAGACAACAAGCTGCTTTGAAACATTATTGTATGATGTAAAAGTAATAAAGGTTTTGTGTCTTTTTTCTAAAGGTCTAACTTGTCATATACAGTACTGTGCAAAAGTCTTAGGCTACCATTAGTTTTGCTGTTTTAGCAAGGTTGAAATGATAATTTATATGTATTCCTCTTTATTAAGATATAACCAGAAAATACAGGAAATATGTAGACAATATTAAACAGTCCAAAGCTAGTATTTAGTTTGACCTCCTTTGTACTTAGCACAGCTTGAATTCTTTTGGGGAGACTGTGTTGACGTCTTGAAACCGTAACAGATCCTCCATCATGTTTCAATGAAGGCCGCAGGGACTCATTCTTCCACCTCTCTTGAACTCTTTTTCTCATATACTGTTGATGATTGGACCTGGAGCTTTCAATCTTCAATTCATCACTTCATAATACTCTTTTCCACTTACCTTCACTCCAGTCTTTGTGAGCTTTTACGTATCTCAGCCTTTTTTCCTTGTCCACCTTCTGAAAAAGTGGTTTCTTGGCTGCTGTCCTTCCACAAAGGCTGTTCCTGATCAAACCTTTTCCAACTATGGAAGAATCTACTTGGCATCCCGATGAAGCTTCCTCATGCTGAGCCAGGTCGTTGTTGGATTTCCTCCGGTCCCTCAATGAAGAAACTCTGAGAAACTGCTCATCAGATTTGGATCGTTTTCTTGATCTTCCACTTCTGTTTTTGTCCTTAGTCTCTCTGGATTCTTCATATTTCTTTAGAACAGCTTGAATCCCACATCTTGAGTATTCAGTTTATCTGCAGATTTTTTTGATGTTTCTGTGCTTTTAATTCTAGTTACATGGTATTTCCTGTATTTTCTGATTAGATAAATATATCTAGTCATCTTAACATTGCTAAAACAACTAATCTAATGGTGGCTTAGAGCTTTTGCACAGAAATGTATGTGCCATTATTGGCAAAATGTCTAAATGTTCATATTTTATGCATTTATAGGTTTGTATTTCTAAATGATTCTCTCTCCTCATTCAGGGAATGTCTCAGAGGGACAATACTGAACACTCAAGATGCTGAGGTGTCCTGTCCTGAAAAATGTGACAGCAAGTTACAGGACCGAGAGATCAAAGAGGTAAGACAGGAGAACAAAAAAAAACTTGGAGAACGGACGGTCAAAAAGAACATTAAGCATAAAAATTATAATCCAGACAATTATGAGTTCTTCATCAGTGGTCAGTGATGACAGAAAATTGTTACAATTACATTTAGTACATTAGCATTTGAAAGCATGACTGGTCTGGTTAGTCAGAAAAATAAAAAAAATAGAATGGCCTCTTAATCTTCAAATGTAAGACATTTTTCAAAACTCCTTTTAAAAAGTAGGTAACATGTTCCTTATGTCTTCTATGTAGAGTTGACAGCCATGCAGTATGTAACCTCTCACTTTTTCTGCTTCTCTTTTTGTTAACTGTATGATGCAGCTGCTCACAGAAGAGGAGCACCAGCGGTTTTTGGAGTTGCGTCTGAGCATCGCAGAAAGCCGCTCAGATCACAGCTTCCACTGTCAGACTCCGAACTGTCGAGGGTGGTGCATCTATGAGGATGAAGTCAATGAGTTTGATTGTGAGCTCTGCGGAGAAATCAACTGCATTCTCTGCAGGGTAGCTAAATGTATTGGATTAACTGAGCAAGGTTTTCTTTTTTGTGTAATAATAGTAGATGCACCAAACATGAAGGATTTTGTGCATGTTTTCAGGCCATCCATGAAGGCATGAATTGTAAGGACTACCAAGATGACCTGCGCATTCGAGCAGAGAACGACCAGGCGGCTCAGAAAACTAAGCAGATGCTAGAGGTAGGTCAACCTTAAAACTCTGTGTGATGACCCCAGAAAGAAAGTAAAAAATGATCATTTAATGACACTGGACAATGAACAGGCATGTGCTCGCAGATCAGTGTGGACTGAGAAACATGAAACAGTAACAACTTCATTTCCTTTTATTACAGACAGGTTTGCCGTTCACAATCAGGGATGCTCTCCTTATAAGTTCTTAGTCACTGTGGGTCATTTTCTGTCCCGTGCCTGTGCACACATTTCACTGATGTGGTTGCTCAGTAACAAACAAAAGTATAAACAAAAGAATGCATCACTTCCTGTGTGGCACCACAATTTAGTATTAACCAGTGGGCCATTAACAGGAGCAGGCAATTCTGAAAGGTCTTAAAATAAGAAAGTGCTTCATTACATCCTAAAGGAGTTAACTATAACTCTGGTAGTTATTTCAAATGATCACTTTAAGGAAGTAGTCAATTTGTTTCATGTTGTTTAATGGCCTGTAAATAGTTTAATTTTTGATAAAAGCAGATGTTTTATATTACTCCACTGTGTGCCAATGTAGAATTTGCTGCAAAGTGGGGAGGCCATGAAATGTCCAAAGTGTGACATCATCATTCAGAAAAAAGATGGTTGTGACTGGATCTGCTGTTTGATGTGCAAGATAGAAATCTGCTGGGTCACCAAACAAGCTCGCTGGGGACCAAACGTGAGTGCATGCACACATACATGGAGCAAGATAAGCACATTATCATGCAGTGTTGGTTCCATGTTCAGGAAAGTTATCGTATCATTTGTTTTGAGCTGTGCGCCTGACTTTTAGGGCCCTATCTTGCAACAAATGCATGGCGTGCAGGGCGGGTAGTGCATCTGTGTTACCTAATTTCCTACCTGTGCAATTAGTGTTTTCATGACATGCGCAACACGTTGCCTTATTGCCAAGCAGCAGTCTGTCGACTTCGCGCCAGTAGGTGTGTCCAGGTAAATTTTGGGTGTGTTGGTAATATGAGGGTGCACAAAGAGACCACTGACCAGCAAAAACCGGGTCTGTGGCCAACAGTCAAATCGTCAGTGCTAGTTAATGGGCGCTTTGACCGTATCTACAGTAGGTCTGTCCACAATGCTCATGCACTGTGCTTGTTATACCCTGGGATGCGCTGTGCAGGACATGCAAACTTATTGAATGTTGTGTACATCAGTATATATATGCATTTATAATAAATAGCATTTTGATTAGTGATTGTGCGCCTTCACCCCGCACATGAGCAGATCTGTTTCCTCAGTGGAAGATTTTACTGACGTCCACCCAACGTTCAAACTCTTAAAGGGGATATGAGACTACACACTGATTGGATAATTGCATGTTATGTCCAAAACACACCCCTACTTTAATGAGGAGATCAAGTACAACCTTTTTGTTACTTGCACAGGCACTTGAATCGTTTTTCCTCATCGTCAAAAAATGAACGTAGACACACCCAAATACCACTTGATGTACTGGCGTACATCTTGATCAGACACCATGGATCCTCAAAATAGGACCCTTAATCATTTATTTATTTATTTGTTTGTTTTTAACAGGGCACTGGCGACATATCTGGTGGCTGTAGATGTCGAGTAAATAATCAGCCGTGTCATCCTAACTGCCAGAACTGCCACTGAGGCAAGCACATTAATGAAGACACACTATACATGGAACTGCAAGCACATGCACTGCTTCAAGAAACACAGCCCTCAGGTGATGCTTAGGCCTCTAACCTGTTGCTAGCTACATCCATGTGTTCTTTTGATTTATTTTAGCCACCTTCAGCCTTTATTTCTGGGGTACTCTGACAGGACAATGTACAGTATTTGTCCTGCTGCTGAGGCACACCTTTCTTAAGTGGTGGGATAACCACAGATAAAAGACAATACACACTGCCAGCTTTATCTTCTACAATTCTGCAGCTCCCAATGTGAGAAAATAAGCTCTACTAGAATTGTTTGCTATAATAGTACCTTTTTTGTGTTGAATTAATGCTTAATATACATTTTGGCCTCTGCCTACTTCTTTCATCACAATTCAGTTTGATGAGCCAGCAATAATATTGCACCTTTTCAAGACTACTTTTATATCAAAATCATCATCATATCATGTCTTCCTAATTAATATTTTGGGGTTGTTATGGGAATTGTAAGCAATGGCATTCATATTAGTCAACTAATCACTGTGCTGAAGGATGTTTACACTGAGTGAATGTGTTCATAATGCAATGCAAGCTGCTCTCACACACTTAATGACTTTGAAGTATTAGGTTTGCAACGTGGGAGAGCCGACAAATAATTGTATTTTTTTACTGTAGGTATTCAGGTCTCATCTCTACTTAAATGTTAATCCTGCAAGAAAGAAAACAATGCATTATATGTGCAGAATGTTTCTTGCATTTGTGATGCTGGGTTTTATATTTATATCAGTCATTAAATGAAACCATCTGTGCTGCACTGTAGTGGACATTTTTGAGCAAGTTACAGTACATGTAGAATTGACGCAACTCAGTCTCAGTTGTATTTTGTCAGGTTTAGCTCAACATTCATCAGGGCAAGGTTTTGTCTGCATCAGCTGTCTTTTGTCTTGGTTTTTTTTTTTTCTTTTCTT